TACTCTGTATCCCTTGATTCGCCAGCTGTGGATCACCTATTTACCCGTCCTTGCAGGGTACTATTTGTATGCAGTATATGTGAATGTTGGCGTTTTTGTATGGAGTATATTTGCGTGAATCTTTGTGTATTTGTGTATAATGCTGGTGTTTGAATGAAGGTGGTCTCTTTATGTGTAGTGTTGGCATTTAAATGCAGGTGTGTGTGTATGTTGGTTTCTGAATGCAAGTTTCTGAATGGCTACACTCTGACTCAGTAACTGAGCACTGGAGCTGCAACGGAGATGATATGATAGTGTATCAACAGGAGGTGCAGATTGCCAGATACACCACCAGACCACCAGGGGCCTGGTTGTACTGTGTGAAGGGCAGCAGCAGGCAAATTGTGAGTAAAGTTATGTGCCTGCTACGGCCTGCTTGTACATTTGGATCTCCAGGGCCTGGTTACAGTTGCGACCTTTGCAACCCTGGTATTTCCTCTCACTGGCGCATGCACAGCCACTGCTTCTTCACCGCTGCACCCTACTCCCAGACCCGGCACTTTTGGATAGATTAGGAACCTGCTGCGTAGGCCATAGTGTAAGCCTCCAAAGTGCAGGTTGCTTTTTGGAATTACGTCTTGGAGTGCAAATAAGGCTAAAACCCACAAAATATGATTTAACACAATATTTATGTGATTTCACAATACTAATACATTGATCTAATAAGGTGACATGAGTTTTTACCAGACAAAGGCAGAACTTAATAAAGGAATATTTATATTATGTTTATAATATATATTATGAACATAATATAAATATTCCTTTATTCCTTCATTTAGATTTGTACCTCTGCTGGTTCACAGGTGCTGGAATCCCTTTGAGTCATTTACTTCCCTAAAATATATTAGACGCTGCCCATTTGAATGGGGTATCTTTTATAGATTTATAGACTGCCCTTAAAGTGACCACGTCATCTAGGTGACCCCATAGTCTACCAATTTGGAGTCGCAGAGATGCCGTTGTCCAATCAGAAAGTATATTAGCCTATATAAAGTTAATTTGGGCTCTTGTTCATTGCCCGATCTTAGTTTCTGCCTTGATATACTTTAGTGCTTATAGTAAGTCTCTCATTTTGATATTGACCTTGGCTTGTATTTGACTTTGTGTTATTCTGGTATCCTGACCTGGCTTGTTATTCCATTTATCCATATTTCTTTTTGGATTTCTTTTATATATGTATATATATATATATATATAAACTCTAAGGCCGGGTAATACATCTATTTAGTACCTCTTTGTGAAATTCGCCATTCCTGTAAGTTGGGGTACGACCTCGTGACAAGGACAAAGTGTACCTATAGGAACAATAAGTGACTTCCCCCTTGTGTTTCAGACCAACATCAATCCAAATAGAAACTTTTGATTTTATTTCCTCTCTTGTGCTTGCCAGAAATAATGATGGCATCTATGTTTTTGTTGCAATTTTTTAATTCCATACGTATGTTACCAGAGGCATAACTAGAATCCACTGGGCCCTGGTGCGAAAATTGCCCTTGGGCCCCCCTCCCATGTATTTCATTCCTCTCCCCCTCTGTGTTTCATTCCTGCACCCAGGCCCCCCCATGTGTCCCATTCCCTCTCCCCCCTCAGCCTCTCCATGTGTCCCATAGGATCCTCCTCCTTCAGCCCCATCATGTGTCCCATTCCCTCTCTCCTTAGCCCCTCCATATTTCTCATATCCTCCTCCCTCCATGCCCCACCATGTGTCCCATTTCTCCTTCTCCCCTCCTTGTGTCCAATATCCTCCCTCTCCCCCTCCCCTCCATGTGTCCCATTCTCCCTCTCTCCCCCTCCCGTCCATGTACCCCATACCCTCTCTCCCTCCTCCCCTCCCATGTGTCCCATGCCCTCCCTCTCTCCACCTCCCCTCCCTGTATCCCATTGTTCCTTCTCTCCTCCTCCCCTCCAGGTGTCCCAGTATACACCCTATCTCTCCCCTCCTCCCTCCTCCCAGCTCCTGTATTATGCCCTTTCATCTCTCCCTCCCTCCCCAAAATGTATGCCCCTTCTGTTCTCCCTTTCCTCCCTGTGTCTCTATTCCTACCTCTCTCCCTTCTCCTCCTCCCTCCATATGTCCCATTTCTCCCTCTCTCCCCTTCTTTCCAGGTGTCCTGTATACCCTCCATTTCTCCCCTCCTCGTGTCTCCACCTCCATTTTCCCTCCCCTGTAAAGGCCTATAATTCTCTCTCTCTCCTCCTTCCCATGTCCCACAGCCTTTCTATTTTCCTCCCTCCCTGTGTCCCATACCCTCCATATCTCCCCTCCATGTGTCCTGTTGTCCCCCCCCCTCCCTGTATCCTATTTCTCCCTCTCTCCCACCTCTGCTCCAGGTGTCCCATACCCTCCATTTATACCCCCTCTCCATGTCCAATGATTCTCATGAATGTTATTTGTCATTAGCATATCAAAAGAACCCACTCTCTAAGAGGGCATATAGGCATAGGGTAGATTAGCCAGTTAGTTTACAATGAAGCTAGACTTAGAGGCAACTCATGTGTAACATTTCACACATTGCAGAAGCTTTGGTTGAAGTCACAGCTTCAAGAGGAATTTGTGTTGTATCATCCATCATAGTTCTATATAATCAAATGTAAATCTCTCCTGCTGAAATTGATACCATCTCTACATAGTCTAGGAAAAAAATCCTTTTTGACCCCAAAATAGCAGTCAGATATCTCCTTGGACCAAGCAGCTATTACCCCACTAATTAAAAATTATATCCCTGTATGTTATGTTTTTGCAAGTATATCCAATTGCAGTTTAAACATCTGTATGGACTCTGAAATAATCACCTCTTCAGGCAGAGAATTCCATATCCTTATTGCTCTTACTGTAAAAAAAAAAACCTTTTCTTTGCCTTAGATGAAATCTCTACCAGGTAGCCAATTCATGTATGCACTACACAAATCACATTAACCCCTTAAGGACACATGACATGTGTGACACGTCATGATTCCCTTTTATTCCAGAAGTTTGGTCCTTAAGGGGTTAAAGAACCACTATAGGCACCCAGACCACTTCAGCTCAATGAAGTGGTCTGGGTGCCAGGTCCACCTAGTTTTAACCCTGAAGCTGAAAACAGGAGTTTCTCAGTGTGAAATTCGCATAGAACTCACGCTGGACGTCCACAGGAAAGCATTAAGTAATGCTTTCCTATGGGCGGATTGAATGCGCACGCGCCTCTGGCCGCGCGTGCGTATTCGACTCCACTCGGGAGCTCACTTCGGCAGAGGGAGCCTGGCGATGGATTAAAGTAATTGGCTGAAGGAGTTTTAACCCCTTCAGCCCAGCGGGAGGGGGGCTCCGAGGGAGGGGTGTACCTAATAACCCTATAGTGCCTGGAAAAAGAGTTTGTTTTCCTGGCACTATAGCAGTGATGGCGAACCTATGGCATGCGTGCCACCGGTGGCACGCCGGGCCCTCTCTGTGGGCACGCGGCCATAGGTTCGCCATCAATGCAGAGTAGGCACCTGCCTACCCAAAACGGCCGGCGCCTACTCTGCTTTCTTGTCGGGAGGACCGGAAGCAGGGGGAAGGCATCTCTCCTGTCCTACCGCGAACTGTGTGGAGCGTTTCCGCGTGTTACCATGGCAACGCTCCACACAGCATCGCGCGGGAAGACAGGAGAGCTGCAGGACCTGTCCTCCTGTCCTAGATACTTACCACCACTGGACCACCAGGGATGGCTGTGTTCCCCCCATCCCTTCACCAAAGGTAAGAAGAAGGGGGGGGGGATACTGATTCAACATGCTTTTTTAAAATAAAAAATAAAAATTTATCTTCAGCCTTACCCCCCAACACAGCACCCATACCCCTCCAACACAGCACCCCAACCCCCACACAGCACCCCTACCCCCACACACAACACCCCTACCCTCCTGGACACAGCACCCTACCCCCAAACATGCCTTTTCCCCACCCCTCACACACAGCACTCCCACCCCCACCACACACAGCACCCCACACCCTACCACCCCACACTGGCACCCCCTACCCCCAGCACACAGCACCACTATCCCCCACACACAGCACCCCTACCCCACACACAGCTTTTCTACCCCCCACATAACTTTGCTACCCCCCACATACAGCTCCCCTACCCCCACACAGCACCCCAAACCCAACACACACAGCACCCTACCCCTCACACACACTACCCCTCACACACACACACACACCACCCCACAGCACCCCTCACACAGCACTCCACACAAATACATACATTGCACCCCTCAATGCAGTACATCTGTGTCTCTATTCAGCAGTCTTTATGTATTCAGCAGTGTGTGTGTGTGTGTATTCAGCTGACTGCGTATGTATTCAGCAGACTGCGTGTGTATTCAGCAGACTGTGTGTGTGTGTATGTATTCAGCAGACTGCATGTGTATTCAGCAGACTGTGTGTGTATTCAGCAGACTGTGTGTGTATGTATTCAGCAGTGTGTGTGTATTTAGCGGACAGTGTGTGTATTTAGCAGTCTGTCTGTGTGTCGGTGTGTGTATCTATCAAGCAGTCGGTGTGTGAATGTGTTCAGCAGTATGTGTGTATGCATTGCATTTGTTGGAGATACTTATAAATATAAGCTTAATTTTATCTATTTATATCATTATTTAAAATTTGTATAATTGAACTCTCTGTTGTGTTCTTCTTTTAAAACAAAAGATGTTAACTAGTTTGGACAACTGTACGAGTTGTTTTTTCTAAACTTAAACCTCAGTATTCAGGTTTAATTGCTGTGTTGGCACTTTGAGGGAAAAAAGTTGGCATAGATTGCGGTTTGGGCACTCGGGCTCAAAAAGGTTCGCCATCACTGCACTATAGTCCAACAATATTCTATAGTGCAACAATTATCAATCGACTACAATCACAGCCTTTGGAGCAATTTAAACCAGACAGACCCATTCCCCCACAAAATCCCGGTGGTGCCGGCTACTGACCTATGCCCTTCTTATTCCCGCAAATGGACAGGAAGGCTCGCCGGAGAACCGGGGCCTTCTCAGCACACGCAGCCTGCTGGACCATTTTGCCTGCCCCGGTGCTATTAACCGCGTTGATTAACCCATCCCCGACTGCATCTGGAAGACCAGTACCTCCTGCTGAAATGGGACTGAAATCCCAGAGAGTGCTAGCAGGTGCGTGCACAGATACCCGCGACATCGGTGCAATGCTCCAGCGCCAGTCGTCCCACAAGATGGCGGCTGTGCCAGACCAGGACACCAACTCCACCTGCTCGGAGAAGGTTCCTGAGGAGTCAACAGACCCAGATGCACTGACTCCAGCCACCAAACTGGACAGAAGCAAGCTCCTGCTAGAATTAAAGCAAATGTTAGCTGCAGACATGGATCTAGTGAGGACAGAGCTACAGGCGGTAGTCCAAGCATCAGAGGAGGAAATCCTAGATGTCCGACAAGAGGTGAAGGGACTCAAAGAGATGGTCCTACAACTACAATCCTCCCATGCCATCCTACTCACAAAGCTAGACATAGCAAAGGACCGAAGCTGCAGAGCAAACATCAAAATCAGGGGCGTCCCAGACACGATTAGCCCGGCTGAGCTACCACACTATATCAGACGCCTCCTGACCACTTTGCTACCACACGCCCAGGTGAAAAAGCTAATGCTGGAGGGACTCTTTTGCATCAATAAACCTTGAGTAGCACCACCTCTGGCATCTCGAGATGTGATAGTTCGATGCCAATCCCTAACAGACAAAAAGCATGTCCTCACTGCAGTGAAAGGCAAAACTCTGGTTGACTTCGAGTCCTCCCAACTCACCTTTTCCAGGACCACCCTGCAATGGAGGAAAACGCTGGGTCCAATAACCGGCTGCTTGCGAGAGGCTGCAGTGGATTACCACTGGACACTACCAAGAGCTTTGTTGGCTGTGCAAAACTGCACCCCCACGAAACTCTCTCAACATCGGCCTCCCAAACAATACGGGGACCCCGGAGGGACCTATTGTGCAGCATGCCTGGGACCATGCAAGGACTATCCCCTTCGTACCATGGAAGAGAGGAGCACCGATGGCAGCAACCTAGGCAACGAATGAGTCGACGGGAAATTCATACATATGTTCTATCCTGCTAGTTTAATGGCAGTTTAAATACCAGTATTTTTAGTTTCAGTTTATAGTCTGTTTATAACAAGTTACAAATTGCAATTACTGTGCTGATATAACCCCAAAGGCTACAGAAATCCCATTCAAGTGCCATTACTATTCGATACAGCGAACATACTAAACTGGAATGAGCGAGCTACAGCTCTCATATATTTCACAACCCCCCCGTGACCCCCTAGGTAAGGGGCCTTTGACAATTATAGAAAGAGCGTACGCAGACACCTGGCAAGCCAAACAGCCAGGATAACTGCTGGATTATCCCTACTTTACAATACCCTTTTTGCTACAACCAGCATAGTTAGGGAACAATAATGTCCCAAAGCAGAAATAGCAGAATATTTTTGCTAAATATTTAAAAGATACCTACGCAAATCAGCATAATTTTCCTTTGTTTTTGTTCCCTTTAGTCTCTCTTCTTCTTTTAAAACCATCTAAAATGAGGTCAGCTTAAAATCATTGCTTGCCATATATTTGTACCGTTGTCCTTATTGCATTGTCATACCGTACAAGCATACTTTGTCAAAACGTACAAGCATATACATATACTTGTTTTTTTATTCATCTACCTCAATAATATAGAATTAAAAAAAACAGAAAAAAAAAACCAAAAAAACATAAGTAATTGTATAAAAGTATATTGGATATGTTTGTATTAGTTGTATGATAAAGCCCAAGTTTCGTTAATATACTATTTGAAAAATTCCCAGAGACGGCTCCTTATTGATTTTTGATATATATATTATTATATATCATATATACACACACACACACATATATATGTAAAATAAATCCAAAAAGAAACTAATCACAAGAGCTAAGTGGCTAAAGTGCCACTTACAACTATAGCGCTCCTGGAGGATCAGACAATCGTGCATGATGGATGCCCACATTCATTAGGCACATCAAAGCAAAAAAGTCCACCGGCTCACACGGAGACCAACCTTATCGTTAGCAGCTATATAAAGTGCCAAATATGTTATTGTACATTTGCACAGCAGTGTTTTTGGTTAATATAATAGCACCAAAAATACTACTTAAAATTAAAATGGATAATGAGCTCCACTATTTTTTTCACCACTGTTTCCCTTTATGAGAATGCTGATTTAACAGTGATAAATGGAAATTTTAGGACTTGGTTGGAAACCCTATTTAGAATTGGCGTAAAAAATAGTAAAATACACTTGATTTTCCTAAAAATGCAGAGCACAATAAAGTCCAAGAAAATTAGTGTTTATGAGGTATAGCTGCAGTATGTGCTTATTTCTACTGTGTTAAGAGACATTTGTAATTCACTAAGGGTGTGTGCACATAGAGCGGTGATAGATTATTGTATATACTTACAGTAGTTTCCTTTTAGGCTCATATGTGTCTTGTTATATGTAACAGCATTGATAAGTAACATTCCATAGTCAGACCATACAATCTCATGGGTGACGCAATATTATCAGAATACCTATAGAATCTTGCTTGCTTCAGTGACTAACTTCTACATTTTACTATTTGGTTTCGAAATAAAATGAAACTGCCACCTCCAGTCAGATGTAGAAAAATCTTTTGTATAAAAATGACAATAAAATGTGCTAGTGCAGATCGTCCTAACCTCTCCACCTAGCGCATTTTGTGCAAAAGCGTGTAGTCATAGGTATGCGGATCATCAGTACTATATGCTTTCTATAACCAAGGACGCTGTTTTGGGATACCTGCACCACATGAATCAGAGACATATCAGACAACGCCATATCCACAGATTTTTGCTAGAAAGTGTGTGAGTAGTGTCTGTTGTGTCTTTTTCTTATTATAGTTCTTTTCACAAATCAGTGTATTTGTTTTGACATTCATTATACAGAGGTGCACTCTATTCAACAACACCAACACTGTGAATTCTAGTCAAATTTCACATTTTAGATTCAGTGGCGTCACAAGGGGGGAGGAAGGGGTGAGGGTGCCATGGTCTCCCCTACATCATGCAATGCTCTCCCACTTGAAGTTGAATTCGGGAGCTCTGAGTCTCCCTTCACAAGCTGCAGCAGCACTGTGTTCCACCCTTTCCCACGTGCAACCAGAGGGAAGAGACAGGGAGAAGAAGCTCAGCTCTGTATAGAGTCATCCAGGCAGCTGCTGGTAAGTGGGAGTCAGTGTGTGTGATTCAGTCTGTGTGTGTGTGTGTGTGTGTGTGTGTGTGTGTGAAGGAGAGAGGGTCAGTCTGTGTATATGTGTGGGTCAGTCTGTGTATGTGTGTGTATGTGTGTGTGTCAGTCTGAGTATGTGTGTGTGTCAGTCTGAGTGTGTATGGGTCCACACTCTTGTAAAATAAAAATAAAACCAAAAATAAGGAGCCATTAGAAAGATTAAATAATTCCCTATGCCCTCTGGTATTTAATTACAGTATTCAAACACATCTTCTAGAAAAGAGTATCTTCAGCCTCGAGGTGACGGCAGATCCGCATGTCCAGCATACAGATCCGGACAGTGCACTCACCATGCCAGCACTATCGGATGGGCAGGAACTCGCCGATAAACAAGACATCCAGAAATTCCTGCTGGACATCAAGGGGGCAGGGGGAGTGCAAATACCAGCTATACCAGTATTAGCTTGGGAGGAAGAGTGGGGGAGTGGCTACTCTGGCTCTGGAGGATGAATAAGGGGGTTGGTTATCAGATGCAAGGGGGTGGGGTATCCAAACTAGGTGGAATTAAGGCCTTAGTGGACAAACTAGCATGTGGCTCTATTGTTCCTTATGGCATATCTTGATCCAATTAGGCTGTCTCTCAACAATTTGCTTCCAACCATCAACACACAGAAACCAATCATAGAATTCTGGCCTACTAGTTACAGCCACATGTACACGCTGCACTAAATTTAGGTTAAGACTGTCACATGGAGGTCATGCGGCCACCAGGACAGGCCATTTCCTAGTACACAGTGTAGTCAATCGTTTTGGGGATAACTTTACACCAAAATCGCAAGCAGTATATCCCTTGAAAAAGTTCTTTAACATACAAGGACAAGGGATCAATGATCTTTGAATCAGACGCACCCATACTGCCAATGGAGTATCTGATTCAAGCACACAACAAGTATTCAAACACACTTCCAATGGTCACACCCGTTTCCTTAGCAACAGCACCACATGGCACAGTTACTAGGCCAAAACACACACATGCACAAGATCCTCACACACTCAACAATATCACTACAAAGTCAGTTAGTAATAGTTAAAGTGTTACACATACAACATTAAACAGTACATTTTAGTATTTTTCACGCAATTTCAGTAGTTATGGTACAAGTCAGTGGTTATGGTACCAGTCAGTGGTTATGGTACCGTGCGCTACTTTACACTATACACCCAATTTACACATCCGCTAAACGGCAGAGCTCAAGCTTTCTAGCAGGACATACATTCACCAATTCCAACGTATTTTACAATCTTTACAACAAACCCTACTATTCTAACTAGCCAGCACCTCAAGGTCTAGTGAATGAAATATACACCAGAATTCAACTAGCCTTCGCTGCCTAGGCACCACGATCTAGTGGACAGAATTTACACCAGGATCCACTAGTCTATATATTCAATCTATGGTCTAGTGGCGGAATTTACAACAGGACACACTTAGCCAAGATAGTGGGAGAGCTAGTAGACGAAATATATACCAGGATCTGCTTAGTCTCGCCGGTATCCCCTGATCTAAGGACTGAATTTACAACAAGATTCCACTTAGTCAAGCCACGATACCGGTGTCCGGCTGAACATGTTTTACACCAGAATTCAGCCTGACCCAATCCACCTATATTAGACGGGCTGTCTACGGAGCGTCTAATTTCCAGTTAAGCGGTGCGCCTTCGCTTCTTCCCTTTTTAAAAAGGGGGCAGTCAGATTACCGGTTACAGATACAAATTCAACCCCTTGTGGGTTCACCGTCTAACAGTCTTACCTTTAAGTTCCTTGACCTGGGTTCACACTCATCGATGGGACACCCCGGTACGCACTGCGCAGAAGCCGATGATCTCCTGGACAAAAGGCCAGTGGCGCCGAGACAAAAGGAGGTCCATGCAGTAGAAGTCCAGGGGTGCAGCCGTGGAAGAGTTGGTAAAAATTTACCATCTCAAATCTCTGCGCAGGCTTCCATGCTCCCTGCGATTAAGATTCCTGGCCAATGCAACAGAAATGTTACTGGAAAACACAGCAGAAGCCACACAGAGAGATGGACACAAGTCTATTCAGGGAGTAACAGGTCTTTTATTTATATAACGATCGGGTCTCAGATGAACTCCTGTTCCAAAAATATCTGAGAGCCAAAGCACAGATTGCAGAAACTTTTTGTTAGCAGCAAATCCCCTCCCATACAGTATAACCCCTCCTATATTCCTCAGTCCAATCAGCAAACAGGATATTCAGGATCACCTTATATGGGAAGACCCCATGGCACTTACAGACAAAGGAATGTAATATTCACTTCCGTACATGCTCAGTACACTGATGACTCATCCAACTGTTTGTAATCAGATACTAATTAGCATATGCCATGTGGAGATTTCGGCCTACTAAATTTTTACCATGCTGGAATCCCATCACACTTGCAACACCAAGCAGGTCATTTACATGTTGAGTTGTCCATGCGGCCTTCAGTATGTGGGCCAAACAAAGAGAATAATGAAGATCAGGTTAAGGGAACATGCTTATAATATCAAAAGTGGATTTGAAAAACATTCTTTATCACATCGCTTCAAGACCCACCACAATATTAACCCAGTCCTACTTACATATTGTGGTAGTCAGAAAGCATGCATACCTTAGAGAGGAGGATAATTAAGTAAGAAATTAACGTACTGAGAGATGTACTGGATTTTTAATCGGAGAATTCTAGCCCCTTCAGGGCTCAATGTTGAATTAGAGTTGGTAAATAATTTTTAACATCATGCCCCTACCTCATAGGACATTGCTTGCAATCATTTAGTACTATT